TTTTATCAACTTTCCAGAGAATGGTGCCGATAGTAGGAGAAATTTTATCTGCGAGAAAGTTGGTTGATTCATTATTTTTTCTTGACTAAGAGTGAACTTTTGTCACTCGTGCGGTGCGTATGTTTTAATGACATTGTCCTTTTCATTGAAGTAAAGATAACATTTAAGATAATTTTTTTTTTTTCACATACTATGACCAAGTGCACATTAAAATCAATATTCTTCGTCCATCACATGCTGCTCATCTTCATCATATTGGTCCATCTTTTTTTAGCTAGGTGTTTTATTATTATTATTTATTTCATTATATATATTGAAGAGTAGAATATCCCAAATTCAAATTATACTTCCAGTTTTATCCTGAACAATGTATTATTCCTTTTAATCTTCAACCGTTGGTTTAATTTAAAGGGCTTCAGGCTTCCAGTTGACGGGTGGCCACTGAATCTTAATCTACATAGTACATATAAGAAAGAATGCGAGACGGCTCACAAATACAACTCACTGTTTTTGATACAGCAAGCAACTTCACAGACGTATTTGCGCACTTATCTGAGCGGTAAAAACAGATTCCACAATCAACAAATGCTCTCTATTCAGCGTGGCCACAAATAGTAACCTACAGCATTTTCATGGAGGGGGGACTGACATTGAAATATCATTAACAGTTTCTAAAAAGTTCTCAGAATAATAATGATTAACCAAAAATACCAAGTTGGTGGTTCCTCATATCAATCAATACATTAATAAAAATCAAATTGAGACAGTAAAAACTGAACAAAAACAAAAACATATAACTCTATCACAAATTTCTAAGCTGCTGTCTCCTTCTTGAGTTTTGCAAGCTCCTGTCGGATAAGTCCACCTCTCTGCAACCCACAATTATAAAATATACATAAGAAGCTTGCAATTGGTGTTTATGAAATTCTAAATGTCAAACAGCAAATAAAAAATATATCAACTTCAACATCCCCAGTTAATTCATAAAGGGCGCAAAATTGATAATAATTAACTAACTGGCACTCATATTAGGTCCACAAAATTCGAAATAATTAACTAACTGGTACTCATAGTATGGAGGTTGGTGCACTTTTTTAACTCAAGCTACAAGGCATGGCATTTAAAGTTTCCAGATCATATTAATTATGCAAGCAATTCCTGAAACAGGGTGCTGGTTGTGAATTTAACTCAAGAAAGGCACAGTGAGAGGGAAAGGAAACTACAGTGGAGAAAAAAGGAAGGACTTTTACTTACAAAAAACTGCTTACTGATATGATAAGTAATTGATCCATAAAACAAAGGACATGATTATAAGCTTATTGGTTTACAATACCATGCAACACATCAAAGACTAAATATCTAACCAATTGCATACCTTGATCTTTGCCAACATGATCTTGAACCTATCAAAATCATTAAGAGAGGCTCTTCTTTTCTGCACAATCAGCTTCCTGCCCCAGGAGCTGTTGTCCCATTTGTTCTTAACATCTGCCGCAGTAAGATTAAAGATTTAAGGGAAAGCATAAGCAGGTTAAGGGAAAAAAAGAAAAGAAAAAAACTATATTTTTCAATCATGGCACTAACCAGCCTTCTCCATGGCTTCAATCAGAGTCTTCTTCCTGGGACCTCGTTGGATGTCAATCTTAATATCTGTAAGTGAAAGCCTCTTGAAGTTCATTTGGCTCCTCACCATATCAGGTGCATCAACAAGAGCCTAAACCACAATAAAAAAAATTACATGCTTACTCATATCATGCGAAACCAATCCAACCTAATCAAAATATACTGACAAGATATAAATCAATGAAAAATTACAATTATCCTAACCCCAAAAGTGTTTTCATAAGAAAGATCTTGACAAGCAGAATCTAAAGCACTAGAGAAAATAAAAAATAGTGCACACAAATCCAAGCTAAATCTTATCTAAAATTCCTCAGATATTTTTCATTAGTAAGAATCATTAATCAGATTTATGTGTAATTGAATTACAAATATTAAAAACAAAGAGTAAATAAATTAAAGTACCCTGTTTTGGTCGATGACATCAACGATGACGACGAGCTTCCCATAGTCCTTGCCGTAGTTAACCAGCGCCACTCTTCCTATCTCCACGTACCTCTTGAACGGCTACACCCATTTAATAAAAACAAATATAGATTAATTATTACAAATTTAAAACAAAAAAAGGAAAAAATTGGACATGAAAGTGAATGAATATATAAGTAACAGATCCAAGTAGGGTTCAAGAAAGCGCTCACCATCTTTGAAGATCTACGGAGAAAGGCAGTGAAGCGATGAGTTAAGCAAGAGGCTTTAGTCTAGGGTTTGCGAGGTTAAGTTATAGTAGGGTTTTTGACTATAATCCGGTACGAACGAGTCTATGTTAGAATTTTGACGTTCGAATTTTATTGGTGAGAAGCTAATACATTAAGAAATAATAATGGCGAAGATTGGGTTTTTGCATGGTTACCCCTTTGTTTTATGTATTTACTAATCTGGCATATATACGACTCCATACTTAAATTATTTATTTATGAGCAAACGCCATGTTCCCACCTAGGTTTAGCGAAATGTTAAGTTGATAGTGTTGGTTTCATTTATTCTAAATTTTCACCTTAAAAGTAACATCGTAAGTGACAGTTAATTCTGACACCGATGTAGAGACTACAATTACCAATTTGCCCTTCACCTCATTCCAAACCACCCCATTCTAAATCCCACAAACACCACACCTCAGATCTGCCATAGCAGCCACCCAGCCACCACCTAAAATTGCACCATTTCAATAAAAAATAATAATAATAATAATAAACCCAAATCCAAACCACCAACACATGGAAATAAACCCAATCAAGCGCCAATTAAGCCTAATTTCATCAATTAAGCAAATCCCAATTCATTCAAACCGAAAACCCTAAAGATTGGAGGCCAACGAACAACAGCAAATGGTGATTGAACGTTGACTGGAAGTATGGGGGTTTTAGAGAGGGAACATCGATGAATCAATTGGTGGAGTCAGGGGAGGTTTTGAGGTGACCAGATCAGTTAGAAAAGCTTGTGGTGTACCAACTCGAACCAATGCGATGACCGGCGAATGGCGAGGTAAACGCAGGTGGAATGAGAAGGATTTTGGTGGGGGATAGTGGGGAGAAAAATGGCAATGATGGGGAGGGTTGTCGACGACGAATTTCAGCCAATCCTTGGCTGGGGTAGTGAGGAGCAATTGCGCGAAGCAAAAAGCTACGCTAGTCGGCAATTTGGGAGATCTACGGGGTAGGGGACAGAGGGGTTTTGGTGTGGAGGGGTTGGGGGATCGGATGGTGGTAGCAAGGGGTCAAGATGTCGCCAGAATCTTTTGAGATGGGGTTTTGATATGTGGAGTGAAAAAGAAGAAGATGGGCAGAGGAGGCGGAGATGAAGAAGAAATGGGAAGAGAAGGAAAAAAAAAATGACCGTTTTAACCTATACTTTTAAAATAAAGGAAACAGTGTTACTTTTAGGAATGAAACTAGAGGTATCAACTTGGTATTTCACTAAACCTCAGTGGGAAGATGTCGTTTGCTCTTTATTTATTTATTCATTGTTTGTTTGGTTGATAAGGAAAAGAGTAAAAGACATATTCCCACCCAAGGTTTGACGAAATCCTAACTTGGTACCCCAGGTTATATTTATTTCAGATTCTCACCCTTAAAATAACAGTGTTAGCAATTTTTAGGGTTTATAAGGTGCAATTACCATAATGCCCTTAACCGTAAATTAATAAATTATGTTTTAACCCCTAAATTAGTAGAATTATACAACTTACCATTTTATTTTCAAATTATGTCAAAAACACCCTCGGTCATTACACACCCTTATTGGAAATAGCCTGATTTGGGCTGTTTCTGACGGCATCGAACCCCCTGGTCACCTCCATCACCTTCCTCATAGTCTGTCGTCCAAAACCCCATTGGTTCCTGACTCATTGGCCCCTCCAATCGTCGGCGCCGTTAGGCTTAGGGTTTCGGTGTTCTTCGCTGGATTCCGGTCAATTCTGATGGCAAAAATCCAATTGGACACCACCACTGCAACCACCGTCTTCAAATCTATAAAATTCCTACGTCCCCAGCAACCGTTTCATCGCCGTTCATCGGGCGAGAGTTCGTGTTCATTGGTTGTTTTTTGGTGAAGTGGTAGACGGCAAACGGTGAGCTGTCGTGGATGGGAAGGTTAGGGGTTTTGTAAGGGAGGATGCAAGGAGTCAAATGATGGTAGTGGTTGGGGTTGTTGGCGTTCAAAACAGCCAGAAACTGGCAAAAACCAATTGCATGTCCAAGTTGCCATGGTTGGCGATCGACGAGTGATGAGGGATTGTGAAGAGTAGGTTTTGTAGAGGGGAGGATGGGGGTTCAAATGGTGGTGACAACAGTGATTTTGGATGGAAGAATCGCTGGAAAAAAGGCAAAAAATGTCGGGGACATCGTCTACTAATGTGCGTTGGAGGATTGTTAGAGGCGGCGGTCTGTTGACGTGCGCCACCCATGTAAAATGACCAATTTACCCCTTTATCGTTACATCAAACATTTTTCCGTCACTTTAAGGGTGGGAATCTGGAATAAATATAACCTGTGGTACCAACTTAGGATTTTGTCAAACCTTGGGTAGGAATATGTCGTTTACTCTAAGGAAAATGACCGTTTTAACCCATACTTTTTTAAATTAGCGTGAGTTAATTCAACTTAATTGAATTTGTAATTACGTTAAATACTTTCTATATTATCAATTACATTCGAATATAGAAATAATTTGGATTAAAATGCCAAGATTCCTTTCTTGTCACAGTATGAATTGATGGCTCCAAATAAAATAGAATAAGAATTGATGTCCAAGTCCTCGTCAAATATTGTCACTCTAGTGAAAACTTCCGAAAACGAAGGCAGAGAAGAAATTAAGAAAGGAAATTTCCGATGAAGGTGCAAGCGTCTTCATCGCTCCAAAATTTGCAATCCACAAACATCAAAATCAGCATCCCATGAACAGTTTTTATAGTTTTTGTTTTTGTATTAAAGGATTTGCATGAAGATCATCCACTAGCAATTCATTGGTGTTGGAGGGAATGGCGGGCATTTTTCTCAGGAAATCTGCAGATGATGATCTTCATGCCTTCTATCCAATTCGACCCGAATGCGCTGCTGACGTCCCCAAGGCCCGTTTTAGAGCCCGGGTATGTTTCTTGTCTATTCATCTCTTTCGGCAATACCAACTTTCTTTTCCAAAATTTGGATTTCATTGGTTATGATTCTCTTTTGTAGTTTTTTTTATTTATGTTGTTTGAATTTCTACTTTGTTTGCTCACAGGCTGGGAAAACTCTTAGTCCAAGAAAATGGCAAGCTGCATTCTCTGAAGATGGTCATTTGGATATAGCCAAAGTGCTTAGACGAATCCAGAGAGGGGTACTTTTTTTTTTTCTTGTTTTATTGGGCGTTCTCAAGTTATAATCTGGATCTCTCATAGCACTCTCAGACATATATTATGAACACAGACTCTCTGTAAAGCTTACTGGAGGGCTTAATCAGGATGTAAAATTTAATCCCATATTGGCAAGTAGTTGTTTGGAGCCTATCAGCATGAGTTTCTTTCACCCTTCATACTTAGATCGTTAGTATACTGTGGCCAAACTTGATTCAGTCAACAAAAATTGAATGATTGTGTTTTTCACATTTTATTTGCTCCTGTGAGATAGCAAACGGTTTATGAAATTGAATAGTCACTGCATATGGATTTTTTTATCTCTCTCTCACTCTCCCCAACCAATTATACATGTATGTAAGATGTATATCAGTGATCTTGGTACTAGCATTAACGTCCTTCCATCCTTTGATGTTGTTAGTTTACATGCTGGTATGTTTATTATTATGTAACCACCTTTTTCAGATATAAAATGACTCATTTTAGTGACAAATGATAACTTTTGATACTGACGTTTTTTGCTAATGTGTAGTATACTCCACTAGCATGTAGGATGATCCTTTTAATTTGTGAAATGTAAAAGGTGTAGAGTATTTGCTTACTTGGATTCTATGCTAGGGTATTCATCCTTCAATCAAAGGGTTAGTATGGGAGTTCTTGTTGGGTTGCTTTGATCCTGACAGCACCTTTGATGAACGAACTCAACTGAGGCAATGCAGGAGGTAATGTCTTCCTTTAAATTATAATTTAACTTGTATATAAGTAAATGAATTTGAGCACTATGGCAAATAAACTGAATGCTTTATGGTATGGTCTCCTTCCATATTAGTTTTCACTAGGGCTTTAGATGTGTTTTGGAAACTATATACGATTAGACAATAGTATGAGTTTACACGCATTTATGTTGTCAACGTACATTGGTTAATTTCGGGTGAGAAACACACACACAACTACTACATTTTCCCAAACATGCATACATGTCCCATCACATAAAAAAAAAAAAAAAAAAAAAAATCATAAACATGCTTTCTGACAGTCAGCATGCTGAACCATTTGATCTATGAATTATTTGCCATTTCACAATTCGGTCCTTGGTCTTTAAGTTTGAGATCATTATCTTAATTTATAAATAGGTGTCTTTGCATGTTCCCCAATATGGCCTTGTGTGACTGGTTACTAATAACTCCCATATGGCTTAATATCTTACACCAATCATCTTAGGCAGCAGTACGGAAGATGGAAAATTGAATGTCAAAACATGGTTCCCATCATTGGTAGTGGAAAAATAATTACGGCAGCTATTGTATCTGATGACGGGCAAATGTTACAAGATTCTTCAGCAAACAATGATTCACAAGATCAGGACTGGCATGTAAATAGTGCTATTTCCGACAAGAAAGTGCTTCAATGGATGCTCTGCTTGCCTCAAATTGGTATATATGTGGTGCATAATTTCATTTCCACTGAATTTTATTGTTATCTTCTGAGTCTATTTTGTCTTTTATTAACTTTGAGAAGTAATTAGCAGAGCTGGTAAATGTTTGGATTGCAGGTTTGGATGTTGTTCGAACAGATCGAGCTCTTGTCTTTTATGAAAGTGAAATAAATCAGGCAAAACTTTGGGATGTTCTTGCAATTTATTCGTGGGTGGACAACGATATTGGTTATGTTCAAGGTGAATTACTATAAGCTGCATAATTTACTGCAAAACTGAAATAATTCTCAGTTCAAATAGTTATTTTGGGATTATTTTGTTGGGCAGGAATGAATGATATTGCCTCTCCAATGATAATTCTTCTTGAAAATGAAGCAGATGCCTTTTGGTGTTTTGAGCATGCAATGCGAAGACTGGTATGCATCAAATTCATGACATTATTTTTATAAAATCTTTTGTGCAAGTAGCGTGGACTACCTTTTTTACCTTCATCATCCAGGGAATTAGTTTAAATGAGTGGTTAATAGTGACACAATCCAAATGTTTTGGGCCAAATTGACTTGAGTTCCTCGGTAAATTATTTTCTTGATTATGCACTTTACAAGTTTTTAACTTTATTGAGAATAGCCTCTGCATTACTAAGACGCTACAGAAATTGGGATAAAAAGAGAAAATATTCAGGTCATGATCATGAACCTGACAATTTCTTTTCTGTATATATAATTGGTCGGACAGCCTACCCATATGGATGATTTTCTCTTTATACTTAGTATGCATTACTTGGTTTGATTCAGTTTCTGCTGATTGTGATTCTACATGGTGATTTTGGATTGGTATTCCTGAAAGCATTATGTCATTTAATTCAATGCTTATATCTTTTTGTGATTTGCTTTTGTGTATTTAATTTTTCATTCTTTAGGTTCTGTGATGATGAATGATATGTTCATGATTAATGCTTTTCATTCTATCTTTTAATGCCTGCTTTTGTTTCTATAACAGAGAGAAAACTTTAGGTGCACTACAAGTTCAATAGGGGTGCAAACGCAGTTAAGCACACTCTCACAAATTATTAAAACCATTGATCCTAAGCTTCATCAACACCTTGGTATGTAATCCTGTTCATCTATTTTTGGTGCAAGTTTTATGTTTTAATTTGTACTAGTTGTTTTATGTTTTTATTGCATATTGCTTGGTATCGTTGACATTATTAGTTTGATTTTTTACTCTGCTTAGCTAAATCATCCAGGAAAGGTAGCCAAAGAATTAAAATTTCAAAAAATTTGAGACAATGGTGCCTCTGGTTTGCTTTCATTCAAACAGTTAGATTTTGTGCAGCACATATAATTGCATTATGTAGGACTTGATTGTAGTAAAAATTATGTTACTTTTTCAAGCAAATTATTGCGATTGAGCTTAAGAGAAAGTTGCAGGAATAAAGCAGATTACAGTAAAGGTAAGAAAGATTGAAGTTGGGGCAATGAAATACCAATTCCTAGGGTGAGTTACTAGAAGAAGAAAAAATCACTTATTTAACAAGTAGAAAAACACAGTGCACAACGGATTTTGCTAATTCATTTTGCATTCCCTACTCCTGTCTCCTCTCCACAAAAATATGTTCGATGATGTTCTGTCATAAGCATGTCTATGAGATGTGACCTTATTTGTCAGCTAAACTCTCATTTCTTTCATTTGGCAGAGGATCTAGATGGTGGAGAGTATCTGTTTGCATTTCGCATGCTGATGGTTCTTTTCCGGAGAGAGTTTTCCTTTGTGGATGCGTTGTATCTTTGGGAGGTAAGGATGTATTATTCTTGTTTTTTGGATTTCTCTTTGAAATGGAATTTTTTTTTGTTAATTAAAAGCACTGTTTCCTGGGTTTTGACTGAATTTAAGGTCTTATTGATATAGTAATTTGTTACATTCTATTGGTTGAGTTTCTTTATCATAAGTTTATTTTAATATATAAGATAGATCGGTTTCAGCTGATGTGGGCCATGGAATACAACCCAAACATCTTTTCATCATATGAGTCAAGTTCAAATAAAAGCGAAGCATCTAAAGTAAATGACAAGCAGCTAAAGCAGTATGGAAAGTTTGTGAGAAAAAATGTGAAGTCTGGACAATCGGAAAAACAAAGTGCACTCTCTGTTTTTCTTGTAGCAAGTGTTCTTGAGACCAAGAATAAGAAACTTTTAAAGGAGGCCAAGGGTCTGGATGATGTTGTCAAGGTCTTCTTCTCCCTCTCCCTCTCCCTCTCCCTCTCTGTGTGTACATATGCATAGTGCATCAACATTAATCTGATTGTGGAACGGTCTCTTTTCAGATTTTGGGTGACATTACTGGAAATTTGGATGCTAAAAAGGCATGTAACGAGGCATTGAAGATTCCAGAAAAAGTATCTTAGTAAGGTAGTAGAATTCATTCTTTTATCTTTCCCCTGTTTTAACATTCATATACACTCCCTCATCTGTTGAGACACAGAAATTTATTTGAAGAAAGTTTTTACAATTGACCTTTCTAGTGCATTAAACAGGAATTTGGATCCTCTCTTGATTAGCATTTATTTACTTTTCAGAATCTTGTACCATATACCACTATTATTCATTTTTTTTTATTCTATTCTTTTTCTTAACTGCCAATTAATTTTATCTATGCTCAAATAAAATAGATTAGGAGAGATCGTGACTATTAAATGAATGGATTATAGTATTTTATTTTAAAATTAATAATATTGTTGATTTGTGGAGGTTGTCTTCTTTTTTCTGAGTGAAGTTTGTATTGCTGTGCAAAAATCTGATGTAGAAATAGTTAATGTTGTTGGGCATGCAGGCCAAGATGATGGGTGTAGCTCAATGGTATCACTCCCGCACCAATATTTGGTTGCGTTGAGCAGAATTGCAATTTCCTGAGATTTTGGTATGTTTTTGATGGATTATTGTTTCGGTTGTGAGTATTTTCCATCCTTTCCTCGTTTTTTTTGAGTATTTATGATTCCCTTCTTTGGAGAAGTAAAATAAAGAAGTTATGGCTTCGGCAGCATTACAACTTTACCAGTTTGTGATTCGTTTTACGGTGTTGTTTGCTGTATGCATAGTTATTACTTTCATTTTATCATTTTACGCTGCCACGTAAGTTGATATTCAAGCAATATACACAGATTGGCCCTGTCTGAACAACGGTGAGGTACCAACATTTTTGTATGTAATTGCAGTAACAAATCTCATTTTAATAAATTCATTCTTTAAAAATCTCAAGAATTATCTGTTGGCAATCAAGTTAATGGCATAATTTTTGTCACTTGATTCACTTATGTATTAAGAGTTGATCTCGTTTTGCCATATTACTAGTCATCAATAATGGAATTAGTAGATATGTAGGATTCATTTTTCAGTTTTCAAATATATTGTCATATTTTACTAAATCAGCCGGCAATATTTTCTTTTCTTTTCTCTAGAAAAAGAAAACTAAGATTAATAATGGTAATGTCGGCAATCTTAAAATATTTTATCGCTTCATATTAGTTGAAATTCAAGTTATTAAATAATTTCTGGTTCAACATAGTAGTTGAAGTTTAATTATCTCCATCAAATGTGAGGGAACATAAAACATATCTATTACATAAATATTTGACTATGTTGACCAGATTCCGAAGGTTTTTAAGCTTCAATTCTCTGTTTTTTTATCTTTTTTTTTATAATTTGGTAAACGGGGTGTTTGGTCAGTTTGTGTGCATCTCAATTAATTCTGAGGTTCATTGAACACCACATACCCAAATAATCAAGTAAGTCACAATCTTTGCGTAATAACTCAAAGTTTAAACTCTCAAGAAATGGAACAAACCTTATTGATTTTCAGACCAACCTTTGGGGTTATCCCTTCAACCTCTGTTCTTACAGTTAGAAATCAACCTTGAATGTTAAATGTATTCGTAAGTGACTGTAACACGAATCTTTAATACAAATTATTAATTTTAATGAAAGGGTTGAAGTTAATGAACTATCAAAAACATACAATCCTTTGGCTTGTAATTGCATTAAAGTTTCTGATTCTTGTTTTGGATAATAAGCAGGAAGATCACTAATATCATCCATATTGATTAAGAGATTCTTCCCTTCATTAGTTAGTTTTATGTTTAACCAGATAATTATCATCATTCTATAAGCTGCTGTTATGATTCACCAAATCTCAAGGCTCTTAATGGTAAAATTTTCAAATTCCATGCCGATGGTTGTAATTCATTGAGAGCAAAATTGTCTTGTAAGAAAAGCTACGGGAAATAGCAATGCGCCCTTCTCGTATAAAAAATAAGTAGGTAATATTTGTAAATACCATGCCAATAGCTATCTTTCTCTTGATAAATTCTGTTGAAAATGTTTCTTAAAACTTCACTGACTTCTTCAAAAACAGCTTTAAAAACTAGATTCTCATCTTCATTCACTCGTTTAAATCCCCAAGTTTTTCAGTTTCCCATAATCAACTCACGAAACCAACCAAACACACACCCACTGCCATTGCCAAACCCCAAGCTCAACTTGATGAATTTCTCCATGTAAAATTGCAATCAAGTAATTTCTCTCTCGATGAAGCACATGAATTCTTCGATTACATAATTCATGTGCACTCCATTCCTCCTATTTCATCATTTGGTATTTTGGTATTTTGTTTACTGCACTTGCTAAGAAAAAAACAATTTGATCAACTTCTTGTGCTTTTCGTGAGGTTCATTTCAGCTGGGTTGTCGCCTAATTTGATTATTTTAAGTATTTTGTTAATTGTTTATGCAATATGAACAAGGCTTGTGATGGTTTTGTGGTTTTTGGGAGTATGTTTAGGAGGGGTGTTTACCCGAATGTTATAACTTTTGCTTGTCTGATTCAAGGTCTTTGTATTGAGGGTAAGATTAAGAAGGCGACTGAATTGTTAGGAAAATGGTTGCTTTTGGTTGTAGGTTTCGTGTGATCACATTTGGGACTTTGATTACTGGGTTATGTCGAACAGGCAATATCAATATTGCCCTTCAGTTACTTGAAGAAATGGTTAATAGGAATGGTGAATTTGATGTCATTTGTAAGCCTAATATTGTTACTTACACTATCATTATTGATGGTCTTTGCAAAAATGGGTTATTTGACAAGGGGAAACAACTGTTTTTAGAAATGAAGACCAGGGGAATCAACCCAGATGTAGTTACTTACAGCTCTCTAATTCATGGTTTGTGTTGTACAAGCAATTGGGAGGATGCTAAAACATTGTTTATTGAGATGTTGGATGAAGGTGTGTCCCCTGATGTCGTGACATTTAGTGTGCTCTTAGATGAGCTTTGCAAGAAGGGGAAGATTGATGATGCAAATGGGTTGCTCCAACTGATAATTCAAAGAGTTGTGCAGCCCGATACATTTACTTATATCATAATTTTGAGTGGCTATTGCTTAGCAGGAAAAATTGACGATGCGAAACAGCTATTTGATTCTATGGTTAGTAAGGGATGTAACCCTGATGTTGCTAGCTACAATATTTTGATGGATGGTTTTTGCTTGGCAAATAAAATTGGTGATGCTAAGGAGTTGTTTGCTTCGATGATAAGGGATGCAGGCCTAATGTAGTTAGCTACAGTACGTTGATTAATTGGTTCAGCTAGAATGGACATGTTGAAGAAGCTGAGTATTTCTAAGGAAATGACTTCAAAATGAGTTAGGCCAGATGTTGTTACTTATAGCACCTCGCTAGCTTGTTGGACATGCCAGGAGATTATTTGGTGAGATGCAACTGAATAATGTTCCACCCGATTTAATTACATATATTATTCTTATTGATGGGCTTTGAAAAAATGGTTTTGTTTTGGAGGCTGTTGAACTATTTCATACTTGAGAAAATAGAAACTTTCAGCCTGACATCAGAATTTTCAATTGTCTCATTGATGAAATGCGCAAAACAGGGAGACTTGATATTGCCTGGGGCTAGGAGCTATTTCATAGATTGCAAAATAAAGGCTTGGATCCAGATGTTGTGACATATAACATTATGATTGATGGATTTTGTAAAGGGCTCCTAGATGATTTGTTATTAGAAATGGAGCAAAATGGTTGTGCTCCGAATGTAGTCTTATTTAATACGTTTTATGTATGGTTGGTTACTTATGGCATAATGAGACTTCGAAAGTTGTTGTAACTTCTGCATAAAATGGGAAAGAGAAATGCGGTGCCAGATGCATCCACAGTTTCAATAGTTATAGACCTGCTGACAAAGGATGAAAAGTATCGTGAATGTCAAGACTGGCTTCCTCCATTTTGTGCGGGAGAGTCGACTGGAACTTAAACTGTTGGTTAACTATATTTCCAGTGCAATAAGGCTTATCTGTAAAGCATATTTCCAGGTAAATTTATAAATGGAAAAGGCGTGTACCATAATCTTTGTAGTAGTGATTGTATTAATATGAAGCATTTAATGAAGAAGTCAAATTGGTGAAGCTCTTCTGAAAATAATTCTTAGTAAAAAGCTGATGGGATGGATATGCTGTTGGCTGCAATCCAGCTTTCTTTTGATTTTTCCATGGCTGCAATCCAAATCCTGATGGGATGATTATTTTTTGCACCTACATTTATGTCGTTTCTCCTTAATCTCGTAAACGATGAGATGGTGATATACTCAATAATAGTTTTTTTTTTTATTTATTTATTTTAAAATAGGCCTCTGGTAGTCAAAGTTTAGAAAAAGAGTTAAATAAGTTGAAATTATATTTATATATCTGGCATATACACAGTCACTCATGTGCTTAATAAACATATTATGAGAATTTTTGGAGAATTTCACTCTCCAAAAATAAAAACTCAGAATACCTGCTAAACACACACCCACTGCTCAACACCAAGCTCAACTCAGAATATTTCTGATGGGTAAAGTTGGAAATACAATGAAACTATTTGGTGAGATGTAACTTAATAATGCTCCACCCAATTTTAATCACATATAATATTCTTATTGATGGTTGTCTTTTGGAGGCTGTTGATACTTTAGAAAATGGAAAAATTCCAACCTGACATTAAAATGTTCAGTGGTCTAATTGATGGATTGTGCAAAACAAGGAGACTCGAAATTGCCTGAGAAGTATTTCAGAGATAGGAAAATAAAGGCTTGGTTCCAGATGATGTGACATATAACATTGTGATGGATGATGGGCTTTGTAAGGAATGGCTCTTAGAAAAGGCAAATGATTTGTTATCAGATCTGGAACAAAAGGGTTGTGCTCCGAATGTAGCTCTATCTAATACACTTATGAATGGTTTCTTTAAGGCATAATAAGACTTCAAAACTGGTTCAACTTGTTCACAAAATGGCTGTAAGAAAAGTGATGCCATATGAATTCACATTTTCAATAGTAAAGGATGAAAAATACTCTGAATGTCTAAACTTACTTCCATCATTTTGTGCCCTCATGGGGAGGGCCTTGTTGGATGTCGAAGTTTCCCTGTAAACATTAACAAAATGAAAAAAGGTGTGTGTCAATGTCATTGTCATTGTCATAGTTGTGATTGACCCAAAATCAACTTTGTTTTACTTGTAGTGAGTAATCAAATCCATTTTGACCAAATTCCAACTTAATCCGAAGAATATGCGAAAGAAAGCACCAAAATCAACCGTGGAAAACTATCACACAGACATAAATTGCAAAATAACAAATGGATTGGCTTTGGCCCATAAATATCCATTGAAACAGCCTTTCATCACAGTAACAACACCTGTTAAAACCTTGCTAATTTTAGTTACTCTAATACAATATTATTACTCTTGTCCTAAAATCTCGATGAGTTTTTGGTTCTTATTCATGCCTCTTTGGCCATTGATTTACCGAAACTTTTGCTTTAAACTGCATTTCCCTCGTTTGTTCTTCCCTTTTCTCATCACTGCTACCTCCACATACACAAATGTGTCAAAAACAGTTCATTGTTTTTGAACCATTTTTCGGTTTTTCCCTGTCGTTTCTTATTCATCTTCTAACTTGAAACACAAACAAAGATATACTATTTGAACTGGAATCTAATTCATGTGGCCGTGGCTTACCAAGAAAGTGCAATCTAAAACTCTACGTTGCATGAGCTGCTGAATTTGAGCCTGCACGGCAAGTTTTCTCTAATATAAATAAAATTTTAATTTCATATTCATTGCTATTTAGAATAAGAATTACTTACTGTTTTTGTTTTATTTGTTTCAGATCTCTTAATTGCACCTCCAACAAAAGCTACTTCAGGGAAACTTTGCAGTTGATAAAAGCAAATAATATTTCAGAGCAGAAAATGTCAAACAATAAGATGAAGGGCCTCTTAAAAGGCCTAAGATACATTTCTCATATATTTGGTATCTATTAAAATTCTTGGTATTGTAAAGCACAAAATTAATCATGAATTTTGATTAATGATACTGATGCAGAGATGGTCATTCTTATTTGCAGAAAATGAAAAAGAGTCTGAAATGCAGATTGGTTATCCCACAGACGTAAAGCATGTTGCCCATATAGGATGGGATGGTCAATCGGTAAATACTCCAAGCTGGGTAATTTTAAATCACCATTAACGCATCAACATCAAACACCTTTTGTGTCTAATAATTTTCACTAGTCTGATAGAGATACATGTTCTATAACTTGTTCAGATGAACGATTCGAAAGCACCACCCGGATTCTCATCGGCACCTTTAAGTCTTGGGGGAGAGGGTAAGGACGATTCCTCAATCAAATTGGCTAATGAAGGTGTGATATTACATCACTTTAGCTTTGTTTTCCAAGACTTTCTTATTTGTTTTTGTATTTTCTGCCCTGGATTTTGATTGTTGTGTTCATTAATTTGTGCAGAATCGAGCAAAAGTGCAAGATGTTCTCCAGCACGAGACTTGCCTGATATGCCGAAAGCATCAAGACGTCACGCATCCACAGGTTCCTCAGCTGAGACCCCCATGAGGGAGAAACCAGAAAAGACTAAGCAATCAAAAAAGTCATCAAAAGGTGTAAGCAAGGGATTGAGTATTATCAAATCCAATGATTCAAGCAAAAGCCAAGAGGTTGAATCACCCACCAAACGCCCTGAAATTCCCAAAAAATCTCGGAGGAAGAAATCCAGGGACTCCATGGAGGGATCGTCTAGATCTTCAAGAATATCATCAAGGAGAGCTAACGGGTCCAAGTCGGATTCAATTTCTGAATGTGGGTCAGTATCCAGAGCAGACGATCTTTGTCAAACTTCAGGATTAAATTCTTCCGAGGGAGGGGAAGACAAGGGATATATAGGGATTTCTTGAGAAATTGGTGCAATTTTAACTGTTACACTTGTAGCTAGAATCGTTTGCTTAGTTGAGAGCTGAAACCAAACAACACTCATTTTTAGCTTTTTACACATCACTGAGCCTTGTTTGATTAATCAAATAGTACATATCAATTGTTGAATTAATTTAAGTTTTCTTAGCAGTGTGAGTTACTGTTTTTATCTTGTGGAGTTGTTATTAATAATTCATGCAAATTGATCGACCTCAGCATACCCTGATGAAAATGGACAGTCAATAATCCTGACAATGGTCATTACAGCTTATCTGACATCAATGCCAATTGCACTTCATTTGTTATCTTCTTTGTCTGTCAATTACTTATTCCTGGCCCTGCACAAGGTAATGTTTCTTTTTTGGTCTAAAAAATTAATGCTGTGCCTCGATCACAATTCACAACCCAAACGATACAGCATATGTAGGCTATTATATTGCAGTAAGAATAAACAAATTCAGAAGAACGAGGCATAAATAGAGATGGCAACAAACTAAATGAGCTACAGGCTTTAGCATTTACACCGGAAAAAGCAAGTGTGCACAAAAGTGAAACCAGATTAAGCAAACTTCATGTACATTATATGCACCTGTCACTAACAAAAACCTGATAATTACACATTTTCGCCCATCGGACACCCCAAAAAAGAAAGTGTTCATAAAAGTCAGTATAACATGTCCTTCTTGTTAGACTTAAATCACTGTTCTGGACACTTTAATCCTAAGCCATGACCATTAGCATTACCAAGCAAAAAACAAGAAACAACAGCACACGAGAATATGCCATCAGCGCTGAAGAAGAACCACCATTGAATTGGACTGCATTGGGAATCTCTGGCTCCTTACACAACTTCAATTGTCCCAAGCTGCCACTAACATTCTTGTTAATGCTGAAACCTTCAACAACACACAAATCTGGGTTGCCATTTAACTTCAATTTGAGCCCGACTTTTAAGCTAAACTTGGCAGAAAAAGGAACTTTACCACTTAAATTATTGTTCTCCAAATTGATTTCAGCAAACTCCAAAACACCGAACTCCTCAGGCACACTCCCTTGAAGCTTATTGTTATCCAGCCCCAAGTAACACAAGTTCTTCAAGTGCAAACCCATTGAAGCTGGAATTTCCCCAACAAGATTCATCCCAGAAAATCCTATCCCCAAAATACCCCTGAGATTTTCCCATATTTCTGGGATCTGCCCTCCTAACAAGTTACCACTCAAATACACTTCACTCAATCTGGGCATCTCAGCTAAGAACAGAGGCACCCCAAAGTTACCAAAACGGTTGAAACTCAAATCAAGAAACTCCAAACTCTGCAAGGAACCAAAACTCTCTGGGATTTTACCAGAAAAGTTATTGTTACTAAAATCAAGCTTAAACAACTGAGTGAGATTACTCATCTCATCAGGGGCATTTCCGTCAAAATAGTTTTGGCTTAAATCAAGAACTCTCAGTTTCTTCAGCTTAGCCAAACTAAACGAAAACCCACCGCTTAGTTTGTTTCTCGAAAGAGTAATCTCTTCAAGACCAACCAACTCACCAACTTTATCTGGAACGTTACCATAAACACCATTCCCTGAGAAAACTAACCTCCTGAGGTTGGTATAGTTAGCGATAATGCCACTCAGAGAACCAACCAAAGATGGGTTCTCAATAAACACCAGCTCCTCAAGACTTGATCCGAAACTCTCAGGAACATTATAAGGAACCGAAACAGGCGTTTCGGTGAAGCATTGATAGAAGAAGAGCTTGCGCAGGTACTTGAAGGAGGTGAAAATAAGAGGACTGAGAGTAGAGTTTGAAGTACAAGGCGGGTTTGGCGTGTAATCGGAAACATACCCGAAACTCAGCTCAATAATGTGAAACGTCTCGGTTTGAAGGTGAGAAACGGTGTGGTTGGTGGCTTCAATGAAGTACCCACATACGACGCCGTGTGGGGGAGACGAGCAAAGGTCGTCGGAAAAGAGTGAACGCCAAGGAATAGTAGGGTTGACAGAGTGAAGGACTTGATAAACAGCGTCTTGCTCAAGGGAATCAAGAAGAGGTTGTTGGTCGGAGATGACGAAACAGGAAAAGAGAGTTGTGAAGAAGAAGAGAGAAACAGGCACAGCCATTTTGGTAAGATGAAAAACAAAAGTAAGAAGGCAAGTTTTGTAAGGTTTTTGTAGGGTTGAGAGGATGGTTATGGTTTTTGTAGGGTTGAGAGAGAGAAGAGGTGTTGTTGGGTCATGGCGAATTTGTTTGTGTTAGTGGATTTACGGAAATAACCTTTGTCTGTGGCGTTTTGAGGATGAGGGAAATTAACTGTTGGTTAAAAGGATGGAAGATTAGGGATAATGCGATATCACCATGGCTATCAATATCAATAATTAGTCTTCTATTTCTGATTAATGTGAATTGAAAGTTGAAATGAAACAACAATAATGCACCTTGTCACAGCTAATGCATTGATATCATACCCTTATCTACTAGCTTTCGTTTTATTTCATGCACTATTTAATAACTAGATTATTGTAGCAAGTGAATAAATATCTTTAATTTAGAGGATAATTCATTATATTAAGTAGGAGTATAAAATAATGTTACAAAAATTATCACAAGCTATTCCAAAAGTTCCGTTAAATAGCCAACATTTACAAAACAACCCACCAGGGTCATTTTGGACTTTTAACGGTAGACCGTACAGCTTCGCTATTCGCATGTTAAAAGAACACAACTTTCGGGGCCGGAACAAAATTATAGATCACCACAGATACCATAGTACATAACACCTCGTTAATAATAATTCTTAGATCAACGGCTATGATCACTTCAGCGCCCTTTTTATATGCATTTTGAACTTTAACTGTTTAACACATTCTAAAAAATTCCACTTGGTTTTGGCTTCCAAGGAACAGCCGACAACAACCTGCGGAAAAAAAATAGCCGCGGAAGCCGACAATGACACGCCGCAGCCGCCGACTTACTGTCAGATCTGATTGTGTAGAGAGTTGCAGTGAAAGCGACGTTTAACAGAAATGGAACGAAAGAGCCGAGGCGCGAGTGATATGGGTTGGATTACATGTCGACGTGGCAATGGGGGATGAGGGACCGACACGTAGATATAGCAGGCGAAATCGTTTGGGGAAACGACATTACATACAACTCCATTTCCATGAAAGGGCAGTCTAATAGAATTCCAATATTTCTGACAGCGGGTTCTGTCTGAATTACTAACTGTTTTGATTTGCCCTTTGCCCTCGGTTTTGTTCGGCTTTTCACCGTTTGTTTTCTTGCTACTTGTAGTGTAAGAAGTAGTGTGTAGCTAACCAGAAAGAATGTTGAGGAATCAATAAAGTAAACAAAAATAAAAAGATTAAACTGTAAAAGTCAAGGCATAGTTTGTTAATAAAATAATAAAAAAAAGTATTTAATTTTAGACGAATATATATATATATATATAATACTCACTCAAGTCGTTAGATTTGATTAGGTGAATTTTGTAATTTAATTAAACTATGGAATATTCATATCAGTTAATATATAAATTAACATGAAAAAGATTTTTTTGTTAATGTTCGTATCAAAATGCTTTTATGTTTATCAAATTACGGAAATTAGAAATCGCTTTGGATACTTGTATGCTTGAAACTCTTCAACAACAATGGCTGTAAACAAGCTGAATATCAATATCTTCTAGTTAACAAATATAGTATAAAAGATACAATCAAATCTTAGCTTCTTAATAGGGAAAAAAAAAAAGCATTTGATCTCATATATTTTTAAAAAAGGAAACAGGTTTGAAATAGGGAAATATCAGATTTAATAACATTAGAAAATTGCAAATCTTCTGAATAATAGATTGTACAGTTTTAGTTATTTATAAGTTTAAAAATCGAGTTTGATAGGGGATTTAACTACAATAAAAATTTTATTTTATTTACTTGCAAATATCCTTTTTGGTAATTTAAAGTTTGAATATATATTAATAATGGAGTTTAAAAATAATTTTATCGTGACTTAAATAACACTACTAAAAAAATAAGAAAAAAACTCACTTCTAAAACTATGAGCCCAGCCCATCTATCAGTGACTAGCCCACACACAACAACCAACAGTTAGTAAAATTACTAGTCAGCCCCTCTTGAACTAAAGTTTGACATGAGCGGAATCCGGCGTCCAAACGCCAATTCATTTTCTAGTGTTATAATTGACGCGGTGGGCGTCACAACCGCAACGTGCGCTAATCTTAATTCTTCTTATGTTTCTCGTTTGACGTTTGCTTCTCGTCAAACTAGAATCCTAGTTCACACTTTGATCAAGCTTTTACATTTTGCTTAATTTCAACCAAACCTACATTTTCCATTACAAAGAATCCTAGTAAAATTGGGAAAAAATAATTGCAAAAATGGCGATGGCCGGTCTGTATAGACGACTGCTTCCTTCTCCTCCCGCAATTGATTTCGCATCCTCAGAAGGAAAGGTACTTATTTTTAGTTTGAGAAATTTTTTTTTTTTTTTTTTGGGGTATTGTTCTGTTAATATACTTTAAGCTGTACAGTATTGAATTGCATGAAATGTTTGGCTGTATATATATCAAGAAACTAAGTGTTAAAATTGTTTCATATGTTTGGATTCTGTAATTGTGATTTTTTTTTTTTTTTTTTTTTGCTTTTTGGTGATTCTTGTTATTGTTATGATTTGGATGATTGATCAATTTCATTTATGTTTTGGAATTGCAGCAACTTTTCTTGGAGGCTATCCAAGGTGGAACAATGGAAGGTTTTTATAGGTTGATTTCTTACTTTCAGACTCAATCAGAACCGGCATATTGTGGATTGGCCAGCCTTTCCATGGTCTTGAATGCCCTTGCCATTGACCCAGGAAGAAAATGGAAGGGTAACATTTTAACTTCTTTTGCATATAGTGGAAAGTTTGTTGCTTATAAATTACTTAAAACTTGTGGCGGTGAAGTTAGAAGCCATCATATCTGAGTTTTTATTATCTTTATTTTTTCTTTTTGGTGTGGATGAGTGTGGGAGTTGTTGATTTTTTATAGTTTCTGTGTCATTTCTGTTTTCTTCGAGGCTGTAGCTCAGGAGTTCCTGATTTCCCATGTATGTAGGACCGTGGCGGTGGTTTGATGAATCTATGTTAGACTGTTGCGAACCTCTGGAAAAGGTTAAGGAGAAAGGCATCTCATTTGGGAAGCTTGTTTGTTTGGCTCACTGTGCTGGTGCAAAAGTTGAAGCTTTCCGCACAAATCAAAGCTCCATCGATGACTTCCGAAAGTATTTAATAAGATGCTCTTCTTCTGATAATTGTCATGTGATCTCGTCATACCATAGAGGGATTTTTAAACAGGTAATTATCAGCTTGGATTACCTGTTTTCTCCCTGATTTTTATTAGCTGGTGGTACCCAATGTAAGAAATTTGGTATTTTTCCAACATCTTTCCTTTTCATGGTTTTTGGATTATTCTTCTGTTGATTTAATTGTGTAAGCATGCTTTTTAGGCATTATAATTGATAGGATTCATTTTCCTTGTTTTGATTTATTCAACGATGTTATGCAGACAGGAACAGGCCATTTTTCACCTATTGGTGGCTATCATGCTGGAAGGGACATGGCACTGATTTTAGATGTTGCACGTTTTAAGTATCCTCCACACTGGGTTCCACTTTCACTTCTTTGGGAAGCCATGGATAGTGTTGATGTAGCAACTGGACAACAGAGAGGGTAGGTGCTTGCATATGCTTCTGTATTGAACTATCCTATTATATTATACCTAAATTACAGGGAAGTAATAAATGCAATTAAATGAGCCCGAAGAAACTGATTAGGCAACCTCCAGAGGAGAGTGCCTTTTGAGTATTTAGTTTGCTCTTAAGTTTTGATAATTTTATCGATATGCATTTTTACTTATGCTTGCAGAAACTCGCATCTGAGACATTTACAATTATACTGTTTTCTTCCATTTGTATAACATAGTTATTGTTCTGGAAATTTGTGTAGGGTTTATGTGTATTTTCTTGTTAAACCTGATTTATAAACACTAGGTTTGCATTCTAATTTTGATTCTTGTTGATTCATGAAATTTTATGTTTCTCAGTTTCATGCTTATATCAAGGCCTCATAGAGAGCCAGGACTTCTCTATACGCTGGTATGATTACTGAAATTTTCAGCTGCGTGTGCACACACTCACGATACACTAACTTGTGCTTCAGTATTTGTTTTGTTTTATCTCCATGGTCAGTATGCTGGATCAAAACTTTTTTTTTTGTCTTTTCTATCTTTTTCAAAAGGTGAGAGTTACTCTTTGTTGAAGCTCCTCAGTTTGTCAGAATTAAAATTCAGACATAAAAAGCACAGAAAGTTAAAGCCGTCTAGTTTTTTATATAGAAAGTGTAATCCATCAGTAGAATTTATACAGCTTCTTTTTCTCATGGAACCAAATAGACTGAGAACATCATCACAGTTCACAGACACTCGATAGTTATTTGTAAAACCTCACTACAAATGTAAATCTTATCAGCTGTCAACCTTCCTGGAAAAATATGATTATTGATGCTCTGCAGAATAGGGAAATTGAGTAATTTTGCTTGGAGATACTGAGTTTGGTAAAATTACTTTCTTGGAACCATTTGTCTGTAGGGTGGTGCTCTCATTGATTGAATGAACTTCTTTCACTTGTTCACCTTGATTCTAATATCCAATGCTGTATCTGAAGATTTTCTTGTTACATTGTTATGCTGATTTAAGATACATTACTTTGGTGGTTTTCACAGAGTTGTAAGCATGAGAGTTGGGTTGGTATTGCTAGGTATTTAATGGAAGATGTTCCTAATCTTGTGAAGTCAAAGGATTTTAAGGTTATAGAGAATGTTCTCTCTTTTGTTTTCAAATCACTTCCGTCAAATTTTGGAGAGTTTATCAAGTGGGTTGCAGAAGTCCGGAGGCGAGAGGACGGTGATAACAGTCTAAGCCAGGAGGAGAAAGGGAGGCTTGCTGTTAAGGTGCTGAAGTGAGACACTAATCATGCAGTTTTATTAATATACTTCTGAAGTTTTAAAAGCCTAATTTATTTTCTTTCAGGAAGAGGTGCTAAAGCAAGTGCAAGAAACTGGTCTTTTTAAACACGTTGTGGCATTTTTATCTTCAGTAAATTCTTGTTGCAGAAACATGCCATCTTTAGGTCATAAAGATGATTTGCCTGATGTTGCTGCTAGTGTGTGTTGCCAAGGGGCAGAAATTTTGGCTGGAAAGTTTGGTTCCTCAGTAAGGTTTTGTTGCCGGGAAACCTGTGTGAAATGCTTGAATACAGATGGTGATAATCCCACTACTGTGGTGTCGGCAACAGTTGTAGATGGTAGCAGTCAGCAAGGGGTTGATGTGCTGGTTCCTTCATCCCAAATGGGAGACTGTGGCTGTGGCCCAAGTGATTGCATTGGGATGTACCCAGCTGGAAATGATATTTTAACTGTCCTCTTGCTTGCCTTGCCTACAGAAACCTGGTCTGGTATGAAGGATGAGAAGCTTTCGAAAGAAATTCATGACCTTGTTTCAACAGAAAATCTTCCTACTTTGCTCCAAGAAGAGGTAACTACATTATCTTGGACTGCTTTTATTCTTTTGTTTGGCATATAATATTCTTGAAAGTAAAAACATTGTTGGAGCTACAAGGACTTTACTATATTAGAAGGGGTACGGTGGTGGGAAATTTGAGCGTCTGAACCTGCTGCATATTCAGTTTTAGGTGTGTCAGATTTATATTGACTCTGGACGTATTGCAGTACATGTTTGTTCATCCATGGTCTATTTTGGAAGCTATTCCAATTCAAATTTTAATGTGCATTGCCTAGATTTGTCACCATCAAATATGGATTTGGCAGGTTTTGCATCTGCGGGGGCAGCTCCACCTTCTCAAGAGATGCCAAGAGAATAAGGTAGATGAGAATCTCGGCGCACCACAAATGTAGCTTCCTCTTCATCTCTGTATATTAATTTAGTGGTTACCTCTTATGTTGTAACCGAAGAACACATTTTATCTTGTGCTCTGAAAATGTATAATTTCACATACGCATTGCACAAAGCCATTTATTGCGGTTTTTTAGGTTATACTCTGGGAAGCAAATGGTGTATCCCTGGGATCGAAATGTCTTTATCAAGGAGCAAAAAGCGTTTTCCAGAGATCAAAACCTCACTATGAAGAGTTAAGGAGCACACTTCAGAGATCAAAATCTCATGGTGAAGAGGAAAGAGTTGTGTTCCAAAGATTAAAATGTTCAAAATGGAGTCCATTAATATGCTAAATAATTGGTCCAAGTACTGATTTATGTTAGAAATTTATCCGTGAACTGAAATTGTGATTTGGCCTTCATAATGCATGATTATATCTTGAATAATTTAGTATTTTTTTAAAATATAAATTGTAAATGAAAGTGCTTTTTACACTGCTAAAAGTATTGTAATAATTATGAATATAATTATTTATTTATTTTAAAATTATCTACCAAAAACGAACAGGATGTTGATTGCCAGTAACTGTATCTCCATGGTCTAAGGCTTACCATGTAAAAGTAAATCTGTAAATGTTTGTCATAGTCGTAGCAGTATGTGTTCAAAATGAAGTAGTGCAAGAAACAGCTGGAGTACATTCTCGGAAAAGCACAAAAACTTCCCGGAGTTTGTTGCAAGAACGTCAAGAAGATATTGAAGAACATCTGGATAGGCGGGATGAAACACCCCAGCCCATTATTAAACCATTAATTGTATGGGAAAACGTGGTTTACTTGTTTCTAGAAATTAGAAGGGAAACTAAAATTTATAGTTGCAGATTAAGCCAACAACATTCATGATAACGAATCACATAAAAGTAGCCAATTATTGGACACAATGGATAGAAAATTTCACCTTTCAATAAAGTTTTATGCTTTGATCAATAAGATGAAATGGTATCTGCATATCTAATTTTTATGAAACCTTTCTTCCTAATATTAGATTGGTGGATAATCTTTCAAGTATAAACTGATCATAAATTTTTTTATTATCTTGAATCATTTCATTACATTAAATGGATGGATTGTAATTACAAATTATATGTTTTTCTATCCGCATGGTCATAATCTATTTTTCTTGGTATATGATCATAACCCACAGATTTTTCAATGTAATTGTTCATTTTATCACATGAAATAGACGAATTGTAATTATAAATTATTTACTTCTCTATCCACATGATCATAATCTATTTTTTTTGGTATGTGTCATAACTCACAGATTCTTCGATATAGTTGTCCATTCAATTGGAATAGATTCTCATGTAGAATGTTTGCTTACATACAAAATCAATGGGAAATTCAAATTCAATCAATAACATATCAATTCTTCATAAAAGATCCACAAATTAATCCGAATCTGACCTTAAAAATCAAGCTTTTTCCGATCCTTCCAGCCGGATGATTAGCTGCATACTCTTCTTTGCTCAAATTCCTAGCGCCCATCATAGCAATCGCCACCGCGTCCCCAAACACCATTTGAATGGCCGTCAACGTAACCGGTGCCAATCAAACGGAGACAACTCCCCCTCAACCGACAAATGCACGTTCATATCACAAACATTATAACTACTAAGTCATTCTTCTATAATTTGCACTTAGTTAATTCAGGTCACTCGTTTCGCAGCCTATTAACGTAACGGTTTTGAACAGAAGAACTAACAGATTTTCATAAAACTCAGCATTACAGTCTAACAACATGTTACCACTAATTTAATGACGGTGTCAAGATACTAGAATCATTATTCTTCACAGCCCACTTGTGGGAGAAAAGAGGGGAAAAAGAAGTTAAAAAAGAAACGGAGAAAGGGGAAAGACAAAAAACTAAGGGTTTGTTTGGGAGTTTATGGTAGTGATTATGAGAATAAATCATCCAAACGGTTTTAAGAGTAAACCGTCGTAGCGGTTTTGAGGGGTTTTTAAAACACCCAACTTGTGTTTAGGAGTCTATTTTTCAATGGTTCTGACAGTTTTTTAAAACGATAAATTTACATATATGCCTACAAAAATACCCTAACTTTAACCAATATTTGGGAGTTTTGTTTTTTCAATTACAAGGTAATGGTTCTTTATTTGTTTTTTATTTATTAGTATTTTATAACTTCAAATGTGATAAATTCTCCATATCTTTCTTCGTCATTCTTTGCAGCATCTGGAATGATTGAAAAATTGTAGCTTCACTTCTAAAAAAAAAATCTAGAAATGAGATTTTAATAATAGTTTTTTATGATTGCTTAAAATTATTTTATATTTAATATGGTTAGAGACGAGGATAATATGGTTAGATTTTTTTTTTTGGATATAATTGGGATAGTTTTGTAGTGCATAGGGTATTTGTGAAATAAAATTTTAAAACCAATCAAAACACTCTGATTTAGGGTGTTTTATAAACCCCTAAAAAATACACTATATTGATCTGAGGGGTTTTAAGCCAGTCATAATGATTTTAGAATACCTCAAAATCAGTCTAATTAAAAACCCTTCAAAACTAGTAGAAAAAAAAACTCCCAAACAGATCTTAAAGAATTCAAGAAAAGTAAAAAATCCACTCGTAAAAAACTTGAAATCTCAACTATATCCCCTTCAGCTATTTATTTTAAGGGCGTTTTCCATACTTGCAGGTCTTTTGTGTAATTTCCTATACTAATGGGGGGTTTTAAATACCCCTATTGTGACAGTTAAATACTGTTTCTAAGATATTTTGTAACAAATTCGAGCTGGAAGTTGAAGTCACAAATGGATGCGATGAAGTCAACCCACCATCAGGGGCGAAGCTACTCTTTGGTCTTTGGTGGCCCTAGCCACCGTAAGCCAAAGAATAATTCCTCGTTCATAAGTATAAATATTATATATTTATGATAAAATATATACGATTTTACTTATTGGCCACCCCAACCTTAAGTATAATTCCTTGTTTATAAGTATAACTATTATATATTTATGTTAAAAGGCGGTGGATTTGGGTTATATATATGCAAGCTTGGGTCTTGTAAATGTCATAGAATATTACCAAAAATGCTCCAGTTTAATGCAAAAAGAGTTATAATAGTAAGTTTTTATTTAGTCCCATATCTTTGAAATCTCTCACTTTACCCATCTCTGTTTTCTTTTGTTAATCCAACTCTCTACTGTATTATTGTTATGAAACATCAATATTAGTAGTAAAATAGTATTTTAAAAGTTTATGGACGGAAAAATGTCATTAAACCATTATTTGGATGGAAAAAAGATCGTTTACTTGTTTCTAGAAATTAAAAAGGGAAACTATAATTTATAATTGCAAATTGAGCCTAAAACATTCATGATAACGAAACACATAAAGTAGCCAACTACTGGACATAATAGATGGAAAATTTTACCTTTCAATAAAGTTTTATGTTTTAATCAATCAGATGAAATGGTATTTGCATATCTAATCTTATATGGAACTTTTCTTCCTAACATTAGACAGGCGGATAATCTTTCAAGTATAAACGGATCATAAATTTTTTTATCATCCTAAATCATTTCATCACATTAAATGGATGAATTGTAATTACAAATTATTTACCTCTCTATCCACATGGTCATAATCTATTTTTCTCAGTATGTGGTCATAACTCACAAATTTTTCAATAAAACTAGCTCACAGATTCTTCAATGTAGTTGTCTGAATAAATTCTCACGTAGAATGTTTGTCTACCTTGTTAAGACTTGATGATTCATATGTTCACACAAACTTTAAACATAAGTCCTTTTTTATGTCTAAAAAATTTACACTCTGTTATACATTAATTGAGAGTTTTTCAGGCATTTCAAGTAACAGGATGTTGATTGCCAGTAACTGTATCTCCAGTGTAGTAAGGCTTACCATGCGAAAGCAAATAGTCGTAGTAGTATGTGTTCAAAATGAAGTTGTGCAAGAAATAGCTGGAGTACATTCTCGGAAAAGCACAAAAACTTGTTGGAGTTTGTTGCAAGAACGTCAAGAAGATATTGAAGACAATGAAGAGTATCTGGATAGGCGGGAAGTCCGATAAAGACCTTCATCATCATGGAGCTCCTGAAATACAACCCTGCCTGCCTGCCTGCCTTCTCCATTGTCCGGTTAGTAGTATATATTTGGTGAAGTGTTATAATATCCGCTTCAGCTGGAAGAGCTGGTTGCATTGTTAAGCAAATTTAGTGATAAACTCTGTTTTTACTAATGAATATATATTTGATTCAGGCAGGGCATAAGTATGTAAAGGTGCTCAACTGTTGACACAGAAATAAAATTAAAAAAAAAAAAGAAGGGAAAAGGGTAGTCACCTCGTATTCTTCTTGCAAGTCCCTCTATTCATTCTCCATTGAAATGAATGTAAATACTGAATATAATCTGTTCAGCATTTCATTTGTATATCTATCTTCAAGTCACTGTAAGGCCACTTACAAGATGGATAGTTGGTCTATATTTCCAATCTAAGTGTGTTACAACTGCTATTAACTTTCAAAATGCCATTGCAATAAAATAGTACCTTCTGTATCATTAAGAATTTTTATTTTTGTGTTGGGTTTTGAGTTGTGGTACTAGAAGAATCATATATAACAGTTGTTATGCTTGGAAAAGTCTGTCAGAGTAAGTAGTCAAAGCTTAGGTAAGTTCAGCAGCCATTCAGACGCAGTCACGTCGCATGCTGATGCAAGCGGCATGCTCTTGCCAGTGCAGTAGGTGTGCGCCAAGCTAGTGAAAGGCTGGAGGAGATCCACATGTCCAATCCCTGCAAGAGTCGAGTAAATCACTCGAGCAGGTGAATGACGAGATGCAAGGAAGGATTTGTACGGCAATCTGACCCACTTCCTGATTTAGTAATCATTACCTCAGTTGATCCCACTATAAATAGAGGGTTCCTCTCCCGTTTGTGGGATTAGCTGATTTCTCTCTGGAATAGCATATATTCTCTCTCTCTCTCTCTCTCTCTCCCTCTCTCTCTCTCTCTCTCTCTCTCTTGTAATCTCTTGTAAATCAGCTCGCTGAACGCGACCTGATCTCATATATTAATACGATACCAGTGGACGTAGGTTTCGCTTATTTAAGCATCCAAACCACTTTAAATATCGGTTTTCACTCTTTATTTAGCTTAATACCCCCGTACACGTGTGTCTTCTAAGTCAGCTCAGCATTTCCCACGTGCGTTTAATTGGTGTAAAAATCACGCATCAACAGTTTGGCGCTAAAAGGAGGGTCTGATTTAGTATTCGTCCTTCATCAGGAGAATCTCTGACTAATCGGTCCTACAACAACAAATGACTCTCCGATTCGAACCTGAGCGAACCAATCATGGTGAGGAAGAGATCCCCCAGGTGCAAGAGGACACTTCTTCTGAAATGCCCCTAGTCCCGCAAAATCTCGTGGGATATCCCTTTGAGCTCATGGCTTGATCCAGC